AATATAATTAATATAATATAATTAATATAATATAATTAATATAATATAATATGGCTGACTCTTAAAGGCACAAGAGGACAACGTAAGAAGGAAGAAAAAAAGTAAGCATTTTGCTTCTTTTAAAAAAAGCACCTCTATGAGCTTGAACATTAAGTAGTGACTTAATTTAATTTTTTTACAAGAAAAGAAATTTTGTTTTAGGGAGTCATGACACATAACTGCGTTCTTATTTTCATCGTGTACATTTCTTTTTTAAATTTTACTCTGATTTATTTACAAAGTTTGAATACATTGTTTTTCACAAAAGATCCTTCCCATTTCCTTCACCCCACCCACCCATCTAAATGTGCAACCCTGTGATTAACACCTTGCACCCCATCCTCACCCCTCTATTTCCACTCTTCCCCCGACCCTGCCTTGGATCCTCATACTCATTCAACAATAATGGTTTTATACAGTATTTGTCCTCGTGGGACTGAGTTAGTTCACTCAGCATAATGCTCTCCAGTCCATCCCAAGTTAGCTTATAATTGTGTACATTGTGTTTTATGCAATCTTTCCTTTACATTTTATTGAGTTCCTGTATAACGTGAGGTGTTTTCTCTTCTCTTACAATTATCTTACTAATAACTATATTCCTGGAAGCATGGAAGCCAGCTACTTCATGCCTCATGCCTTAAAATCCTCCTTGTCAAATGGATCAGGTCAATTCTGACCTTGGTATTATTAAGCATGGAGACCACCTCCTTTACAGATACATATTTAATCACTGTGGAAGAAGAAGAAAGGGGGGGAAAGTGGGGAGAGGGGAAAGGGCTGTGGGAAGTGAGGGCAGCCCAGGTCATTGACATTTTAGAAACTGGCAAATAACCTTTTGTGTAAAATCTTTTAAGTTCAAGATGAAGAGAAGGCTCCTTCAGCTATGCTTTTCTTTTTTTTTTCTTTTTTCTATAATTATATTTTATTAATTTTCATAAACATTTACAGAGATTTTGGGCTTCCACTCATTCATTGTTGCACTATTCTCTCTACCCTCCTCCCAGTTTGTTCTTGTCCAAATGCCACAGTGCTTGTCAAAGCCAGTTCTGATTAATCTTCTTTGTCAGTGTATCCTTTGCCATTCCCTATCACTCCTCCCTGAGAGAGACTTCACCCTGAGTCATAAGGAAAAGGGCACGGCGTATTCTCTTAGCTACTTCCTGCTGAAAAGGGACGCTGTGGGTTTCAGGGTGAAGATCTTCTCTCACTACTCTAAAGGGCCCCTTTGGCAGTAGGAAACACATAGACTATTATGGAGATTGATTTTGGAATTCAGATGCACTCTTATTGATTGTGCTTGGAGCTATGCTTTTCGATTCCACAGCTGCTGCTATTTAAATGGGAATAAAGGATTTCTACAGTTTAAAAAAAATCCTCCTTTTAGATTGCCAATTTCCCATTTTCTCCTCCCTCTCCAGCCAGCACTCCGAGGCAACAACCTTGTTCCTTTTGCTGATGGATTTTCTGTTCAATACAGAAACTTGGAGCCGCTGTATCCACAAGCAAAGTCCAGCGCAGAGCAAGCCACCAGGTTGCAGCAATCCACTCAAGCTCACAGCGCGGGCATCCTCTGTAGGGCATCCTCTGGTAGGCCTCTAGGCAACTCACCCCCTGCCGTCTGTGGCTAGGTGTAAATGCGCATCAGCTGCCGGAGTCAGGGCTCCACCCTCCTCCCTGCAAGCCAGACCTGCAGGTCCCTTCACTCTGACTTAGCCTCACATGAGACCAGGCCGTAAAGCAGGGGTGCTTAGGACTCCTTGCTCCTTAAGCCAATAACAAATATCTTGGAGAAGGCAAAGCCAGAGTGCTCCTTGGAGGCAAAAATGATAAAGCCTTGTCTAACGTACTTTGGAGAGGCTATTCCTTGGAAAGGAACATCATGCTTGGAAAGGCAGAGGGTCGGTGAAAGAGAGGAAGCCCCTCCACCAGGCGGATGGATACGGTGACAGCTGCAGTGGGCTCTGGTGTGTCAGGAAGTGTGAGGATGGCACAGGCCAGGGCAGGGTTCAGATCTATTGTTCATAGAGTCGCTGTGGGTCATACTCGACTCAATAGCACCTAACAACAACATCAACATCCATGTCTTTTTTTAAAATGTTTTAAAAATTTTATTATTTTTGTGTGTGGGTGTACCATCAAATCAGATCTGGCTGGTACAGGAGGAGATTGCCCCTCTTTCTCCAGCAGAGCATCTGGTGGATTCAAACTGCATAACTCTGGGATTACAGTGCAGCTTTCTTGCCACTAGGCCACCAGAGCTCCCCAACATCCATGTCTTATATAATGATTTTAAATCAAAGATAAGGATGTGAGGGGGCAGGGAAACGAGCTGAGTGGTAACAGAGACGAGAATGGTCACACATTGTGGAGAAGGTGATCAATGCCTCTGAAGAACTTGTGTAGAAATTGTTGAGTGGGAAGCTAACCTATCATATAAACTTTGACTTAAAACAAAGCAAAATATGTAAAAAAAAGGGGGAAAATGACAGAGGGTCTTGTTAAGTAAGGGTTCTTTGCCCTTTCTGAACTTTGTAAGGAATCCAGTATAAATGTTTTTCTTCTTTGTTGTGATTTAAGTGAAATTTACAAAAGAAATTGTTTTTCACCTAACTAGAGAGAGAGTGCAGTTGGCCTAGCGGACAGAAAGCCACGCTCCCGAGCCAAAGGTGGGTGACTCTACTCCACGCCCCTCAAGCCTGCCTTTAATTGTTTTTGGTCCATCATTCTTCCAGGTCATGTAAACCTGGTGTGTCCACTTGCTGTACAGAGGTAACTCGTCATTGCTGGGAAGCTGAACACTGTGACACTGATGTGTCAAATGCGATAATGGTCACTCATGGAGGACAGTGTTTGGTGAAGCTCACCAATTAAAACAAGCTTGGAAGCAGGAGTGGCATCCACTTCCGAAATACCTTGCCTCTGGAAATTCTATGAACCTGGAGAGAGGACAAAAGTTATACAGGTGTCCAGGTCTTTCATTCATAAGATTGCTAGGAGTCACCTACAACTCGACGGCACTTAACAACAATAAACAACAACAACAACATTCACGTTCAAGAGAGGGTGAAGCTTAATTCCTTTCGTGCTGGTGATGGTGAGCTGATTTTGCAAAGAGGACCTTTGAAGAGGATGTCAGCTAAGTAAATATATAAGATCAAACTGAAGTCACGAGGGTCCTGATCCAGTCTGGTGGTGTCCCTTATAAAAGGAGATGCACAGAGGCCACCAAGCCCAACCCACCACCACCAAGTAGATTCCAAGGCATAGCAACCCTATAGGTCAAAGTTGAACTGCCCAATAGGGTCCGAGGCTGTAATCCTTATGGATGGTAAGGAGCGATGGGTCCAGAGGTCACTAGGTGCCTCTGATTTGGAACCGACTTGTAGCTCACCTTCCAGTGGGATTTCACAGTTTTTAATTGCACAGGGTGGGGTGGGGGGGAGGTTGCCCATCTCTCTCCCTTGCAGCAACTGATGGATTTGAATTGCCTGTCTTTGGATTGGCAGCATACCTCTTTACCACTAGGCTATACCAGAGTTCCCAGCCGTGAGTTGATTCTGACCTGATAGCACATCATGACCATCTAGATGAAAGCAGTTGGCCTCATTTTTCTTCCCTGGTATAGCTGATGGATTAAAACGTCTGACCTTTCTCTTAGTGGGCATTCAACACCTGGATTCCTTTTAAAACCACTAGGAAGAAATGATAAACAAAGTGGTAAAGTTTTCCTCTTAAAACAAAACTATGGAATATACCCTGAGAATATGAGAACTGAGGCACACACTGAGATTGGTACATCAGTGTTCATAGCAGCATTATTCACCATCGCATGAACATGGAAACAGCCCAAATGTCCAACCACAAATGAATGGATTGAGAAATTATGGTACATTCACACAATGGAATACTATGCAGCACTCAGGAGAAAGAACTTTGTAAATTATTACCTAACTTTGGAGGGACTGGAGAGCATTATGCTGAGTGAACTAACTCAAGGATACACAAGGATAAATATTGTATAAAACCGTTATTGTAGAATGAGTATAAGGATCCAGGAGGGGTGGGAGAGGCTGGAAGCAGAGGGACGTAGATGTGCAGAAAGGGGGAATTAATCATTGGGTTGTACAATTTTTATTTTAATTTTATTATTTTTGTGTGAGTGTACCGTCAAATCACATCTGACTGGTACAGGAGGAGATTGTCCCTCCTTCCCCGGCAGAACATCTGTTGGATTCGAACTGTGTGCCTCTGGGATTGTAGTTGCAGCTTCTTACCACTAGGCCACCAGAGCTCCCCGGGTTGTACAATTTGATAGATGAGGGGATGAGGGAAATTGAAAGCATTTGTTCAAATTTGTATGGAAAAAAACCACCAAAACACCCAAAAAAAACGTGAAACCTGAAATAAAAGTGATTGGCAGAACATAAAAAAAAAAAAGAGTGAAACAAATTTTAAATGTTAAAAAAACAACCCCCCCCAAAAAAAATCCCCAAACCTTTGTGGGACCATGAAAAGGAATATAGTCAGACATTGCCCAAATGGACGTTAAGTGGTGCAAGCCTGTATATTTCAGTATGTGTCCATGGATTTGCCACGAGTTGTGGGCCAGCTCAATGGCACTAAGAAACCACTTCAGTGGGAATGATTGCTGTGAGAACATCGTGCTGCATCTCTGCTCCTCCATCCCAGCAGAGTTCTGCCTGTCTCCTTCATTTGCTGTGTGCCTTTGCCTTGGAATCCACCCGTAGCTCACCCTCCAAATTTCTGCTGGATTTTTCAAGCGTGTACAATTTTATGGAATTTTGCTTGCCTTTCTCCCACGGTGGCTTTGAGCTGCCGACCTTCTGGATAACAGCCCCGTATGTTACACACTCTGCCACGAGGTCTTCCTTACCATACCGGAAGAGTGCTGTTGTTTGTTGCTATGTATGTTGTTGGAGTAGGAATCGACTCATAGCTGACTCTCCAAAAGGTCTTCAGAGGCAGTAAATCCTTCAGGAGGAGACTACTTCCTTGCTGTCACAAAGCAACTCGTGGATTTGAACCATATACCTTTGGGTCGACAACCCAACACTTTACCTGTAAGTAGTTATGTGCCATTGAGTCAGAACTGACTCACAGCTGACCCTCCAATGGGTTTTCAGAGGTAGTAAAACAAGAGATTGCCCATCCTTCTTCCTTGGAGCATCTAGTGGATTTGAACTGTGGGCCTTCAGGTTGGCAGTGCAGCGTCTTAGAGGCCACCAGAGCTCCAGCAGATCAGGAGGAGTCAGTACTTGCCTGCATGTGTCCTTAATGATTCCCATGAATCAAAGCTCTGATCCCCAGGTGGCCTGGTATTAGGAACCCCAGAACGAGTCACATAAGCTTTTCGTTAGAAGTTGTGTACATGTTCAGTTCTGGTCTTTTGCCCACTGAGGTCACTCCTCCTGCAATGGTGCCCAGAATCTTAGAAATGAAAGCTGGAATGTTTGAGGCGCTGTGTTGATGGCTCCCTTCATTTGGAATGGTTCATCTGCCTGCCTTTGTCCTGTTTATTTGTGTCTCAGTTACAGGATCTCTATAGAATATGTTTTAATTTGAGGACGTCTTATGTCCTTGTATTTCATTCCCCTGGAAGTTTTCCTACACAAAGGATTCTGAAACAGCCCATCTGGAACTTGAGAGGGGAAAAGATTTCCTCTTACCTGTGAATCGGACCGTCACGGGGTTGCTGGGGACCGACCACATAGAGTCAAACTCGGAGTGAGAGCCGTAACACTGGTAGGTTCCTGCGTCTCGGGTGGAGAAATTAATGGACACAGACTCAATGACTTGCCGAGTCTCATAGATGTCACCGTCCTTAGACAGAGCTACTCTGTCGAAATCAGCCTCGAAGGAACAGTCGAGGGTCACGTTACTTCCCGTGATCACTTTTGCACTTGGCCAGGCAGAAAGGGACAAATTCTCCTTGAAAATTCCTAGGAAAGAGAATGTCATCCGTTGAACAAATGCTTCTGGGTGTTGATATGTGTATGAAGTGAAAGACTGGGGAAGCTATAGCTATCTACGATCTGCTAAGTCAATCAGTTGTAAAAAAAAAAGAAGAGTGGGATGCTGCACCATTAATCCCATTACGCCCTGTGGGTAACGTTTCCTTGGGGTATGACCTGTAACACCCTTTATCTTTTTTTTTTTTTTACATGCACGGTTGGTGTTTTATTTTTCAAAGAGGAGTTCTAAAACATCACACTAAATCAGATCAAAAGGTAAAGTTTAAAACAGACTGTTTTATAAGGACAAATGATAACATATGTAATGACTGTTTGTTCACTCTGCAAAATCTTGATCTTAGGGTGTATGATACATCTAGTTGCCAATAGCACCCAGGTTTTCCAAATTAGCTTGTCTTCATTTTTCTCTGGTCTGCAAAGACTTCTTCTCATTAGCTGCCTTCTGCTTTTGGTGCATGATCTCGGAATCCCTCTGCCTTCTCTGAGAGGCAGTCAAACTGTCCTCTTTTCTTTTTCCCTTGCTAATCTCCTGGGTTTTCTTCAAGTTTTTCTGGCGGGCAAGTTCTCTCTGATTTCCACGGGCCATCCCGACAACCGATCCGAGGCTGGAAGAGAGGAACTAGGAAAATCAACGGATCTCTGGTGGCGTCATCCAGGCGGCGGTCTCCTAATATACCCAGCACGCAGGCCCCTCGCAGGGCGATGCCCAACACCCTTTATCTTAACAATGACAAAAGGAGAGAACAGAGGAGAGGATGGAGGATTGCAGTACCACCAAGATAAAAAAAGAGCCCCGAGCAGAGCACCTCCTTTGAACCCAGGTTCCTGTGCTGGGAAACTCCTAAAATAAGCAGGTAGAGAGACAACTTCCCTTAGAGACACAGCACGCTGAACTTGAACTTGCAGACGCCAATGATGTGGATTGACACATAGTGGTAAGATAAGAAAAGACTGAAACTGTCAACAACTTCATCTTCATTTGATCCACAATTAACACCATTGGGACCAGCAGTCAGGACATGCTTTGCACTGGGAAAACACACAGATTAGGGACCTCTCCAAACTATTGAGGAGTAATGATGTCAGTTTGAGGACCAAGGTGCTTCTGTCTGATCCAGGCCATAGTCTCTCTGATCACTTGCTGTGCATCTGAGAGCTGGACAATGAATAAGGATGACAGAAGAATGGACGCTTTCGTGCTGGGGAGTTGGAGAAGAGCCCTGAGCATCCCATGGACGACCAGGAGAACAAACAGTTATGTCTTGGAGAGGATGCAGCCGGAGGGCTCTTTGGAGACAAAGATGATGAGACTTCACCTCACATACTTTGGGCATATTGTGAGGATTGGCTGTTCCTTGGAGAAGGACATGATGCTTGGAAGGGTGGAAGGTTGGCAAAGGAGAGGAAGACCCTTGACCACGTGAATTGACATGATGACTGTTGCAATAGGCTCTAATGTGTCAGGAAGTGTGTGGATGGCATGGGATAGAACAGGGTTCAGATCTGTTGTTCACAGGGTTACTATGGGTTGTGCTTGACTTGACAGTACCTAACGATGACAACAACAACTTATGTCTCTGTTGTAGAACCACTGGAAAATGAAGACAGAGAACCCCTGGTGATTTCTCCCTTCTCTCTCTTCCATCTCCTTTCCTTTGACCATATATTTTTTTCCTCTTTTGTTTCTTTTCCCAGAAAAAGGCTGGAGGTCTAGTGATTAAGTGCTCCAATGATCTAGTGTTCGGAGGTTCAAGTCCATCAGTCATCCTTTGGGAGGAAGATGTGGCAGCCTGCTGTCACACAAGTTACAGCTTTAGAAACGAAAAAGCTTAAATGGAAATGAACCCCTGAGGTTACCTTGCAGCAAAAGAACACATTTACTTAAAGAAATAATGAGGATCCGCCATATGTACTAAAATAATCACTTGAATGAAGCCAAAGAGTTGACAGTTAATTTAAGACTAAAATGATATAATGTAAGTGAATGGACAGCATAAACCCCATTTTGTGCGTCTGGCACCCACCTGGAGCCTGACTCAGACCCAAGCTTGAAAAAGAACCCATTAATTCCAGAGGCAGTAGTGGGCCATAAAAATTCTTAGCTTAGGAAGGGTAGAGCAAACACAGATGTGCCAGGTAGAATCTCACTTGTCCTAGAAAAGTTTAAAATTAACTCGCCCTACGAGACTCAAAGCAAGGACGGACAAAGTGTGTAAGTGACCCAGAGAGGGCAAAAGCAGGCAAAGTAGTAGCCAACCAACCAAAAGCCGACCCACATGATTGATTCCCCTGCCCACCAACCATGCTCCCAATCTTTCCACCTTGGACAGAAGCACCCAGGAAGGCCTTAAAACCAATTGCGTGGGGGGACTCAGGGCTCTTTGTCTGACCGCCTTTCTACTGAGGGAGAGAGCCTCCACATATGGAAAATTATTCTACAAAATAAAGTGTGTTCTTTGTTTCTTACATATGTGAGACTTAATCTTCGGCGTAACAGTAAGATGTCAGGGAAACTAGATTAAAGGCAATGGGACAACCAGAGTGGAAAGAATGAGAATGTTCGTCCACTGTGATATTACCAATGATGCGGAACAACTTATTTAAGAATTGTTGGATGGGAATTTAAATTGCTATGTGAGCTTTTGCAGGAAACACCATAATACAACAAGAAAAAAGAAACAAAACCAAACACAGCTTAGTTTTCAAGAGGAGGGAAAGTAGACACCCTGGCGTCTCACTCACCAGCCACCTGGATCTCCACGAATTCGCTGCACTCTGACCAGTATGTCTGTCTGCTGCTCCGACAGCAGTATTTCCCCGCAGTGCCCGGCGTCACTGACAGCGTGGTAAAATTAACCTTCCTCCATGGACTTGCTGGGGACTTCAGGTATCTGAACTGAGAGCTTCCCTTCTTCTCCAGACGCCACAGGTCAACCTCTAGAGGACCCTGGCACTCAATGGTCACTGGATGGTGCAGTGGGATCATAGTTCTTGGAATAATATGGATGGAAGGTCTGGGGAGCATCACTGAAAAAAAACAACAAACCAATAGGAACCTGAGTTACTGAGTGTCCTCCAGAGAAATGATCACCTGTGTCCTCAAAATGAGAAGGGCCAAAGTTATGTTGTATGCAGTTTAATGTATCCTTTTTTTTTCTTTTGCAATATCAATGTGTCAAATGTGATGATCGTTACCCACGGTGGACAGTGTTTGGTGGAGCTCCCTGATGAAAACAAGCTTGGAAGCAGGAGTGGTATCCACTTCCAAAATAGCTTGCCTCTGGAAACTCTAAGAAAGTGGAGAAACAAAAAGCTATACAAGTGTTCAGGTATTTCATGAGTCATCTACCACTCCACCGCACTTAACAACAATAGCACTTTATTACAGATCTGGGAGAAAGCAGTGAGATCCTTCTTAAAGACTGCCTTCTTCTCTGACAGTGGTCATTAGGTTTTTAACAGCAGGGTGAGACACCAACTCACTTAACAATGCACTTTTGTGAGTAAAATCACAGAATTTCTACATTTGAAAAAAATAAAACAAAACCAAACACCCACAAACCCAATCTCATTCACACACAGATACCAGTAAATAAGCAACATAGGAAAGAGGTAACACATGACTGAGAAAAACAGGCCCCGGAAAAAAAATTAAGGCTGACTCAGGAAAGGTGCACCTCCCCTCCGGGCAAACAGGCAGATTAAGATACAATTTACCCAGGCCTGGGGGCAAAAAAGTTTCATCCAGGCTGATCTAGGGGAGATGCACTTCCTGTCCTGGTAAACAGACAGATGAAACTACTTTACAGGACCAAGAAAGGAAACAAAGAATCCTAAGGCAAACTAACTAGTTTTGCAGGCTGGAGAAAACCAGATGTCAGTTTTAGAATTATTTTACTTTAATTTTGTAACTGATACATATTTAGAGAATTCTGAATTTATTCATATCACCCCATCATTTCCCCCTCTTTTATATCAGTCTTATATCTATAAAACAAACATCTGGGTTGATTCTTGGGGGAGTAGGGCTTCTTTACAAAGAGTTTGGTTTTTTTTTTTTAAAGTGGATTATATTTGGGGTGGGGTGGGTTTGGGGGGTGGGAGGGATTGTGTACCAATGAAGGAGTATTTCTTTTGCTTTTAAAGAAGAGCAAACTGGGGGTGGAGGTGGGGTGGGCGGTGAGAAAAGTGCAAACCAAAATCTCTGTAAATGTTCATTGAAATGAAAAAAAAAAAAAACAAAAAGAATAATTAAAGAAATACTTGTGAGTTCCCCATATGGGTATAGGGACACATATGGCTGCTTCATGCTGAACAGGGGTGTTGAGATGAAGTGGAAGGGAAGCCCACTTTAACTCTTGACTGGTGGCCTTGAGTTCAAGCTGCATGCCTTTTCGTTAGCAGATATTTTCATGGCCTTTACTGCCCTCTGGACTACAAGATCTCTATCAAAGAGGGAATGCTGACATAAATTAGAACACAAACTTCAGGAAGCAAAGAAGGAGTTTTTACAGACTGCTAGGTCTTTTTTTTTTAACTATGTCTTTATATTTACCTTCCCTCCTACCCACATGATTTAAGAAATTAGTTATACTTTAGTGACATTCAAATACACAGGAACAGCATTAAATAGTTACTTTGACTTGTCTCAGTGCCGGTTAAGATACCATTACTTTTGTCAGCTGTTGAACTTTTTTTAATCTATTTTTTAAATTTATTATTAATTTCAATGAAAATTTACAGAGACTTTGGATTTCCATTTATTCATTGTTGTACTTTTCTCCCCTCCCAACGCTCCCCCTCCCCAGTACTCTCCCCTCTTGGAAAAGTAAAAGAAAAATTCTTTTATTGTTTTACAATCCCTCCCCTCAGGTCCACTCCACTATGCAGCCTTCGCTCTGGACTCCTGTCATGACAAAAATACTTAATAATTTTCCCTCTTAAACAGTTTTCTCCCTCATCTGTTTCAATGCAGTATACATTATCGAACCCATCCTTCTGAGTCTCCTCCCAACCCCGAGGTCAGTCCTGTTTTACAACAGTGGAATTGCTGGGTCAAATGGTATTTCTATTTGCAACTTTTTGAGAAAGCGCCATACCGCCTTCCAGAGTGGTTGCACCATTTTACACTCCCACGGACAGTGTATAAGGATTCCAGTTTCTCCCCAACGTCACCAGCATTTATTGCTTGCTGTTCTGTTAAATTTTGAAATTCTGGCGAGCTCTGGTGGCCTAGTGGTAGGAAACTGCACTGCAATCCCAGAGGTGCGCAGTTCAAATCCACCAGATGCTCTGCTGAAGAAGGAAGGGCAATCTCCTCCTGTACCAGTCAGATCCAATTTGACGGTACACATAAAAGAAAAAAATTTGAAATTCTGAGAGAGGTGAGATGATATCTCATAGTTGTTTTGTGTTGAATTTTTCTTTTATGGTTAAAAGCTCAAGTTCTCTTTTTATTTTCTCACTTTTTAAAAACAGTTACAAGTAACTATGGTGATGCAGCATAGTAAATTGACTTGCTTTTACTAATTTTAAGGTACATGAAACATTGTTTAACAACAGTTTGTAAATGTTGTAAAACAAAATGAAGGGGGGGGGGTAAAGTATTTTTGGTCTCGTGAGGTTGAGTCCAGTGGGAGCAACTGGCTCAACTTTGTGGATACATCTGTCTTGGCGTCTTTAACTGTCAGTCTCATTTTTGGAACAGGGCGCAAGGTTCAGATTCTGAAACAAAACTCATGTTCCGGTTACCTATAGGAAAGGGAGCAAACCTAGAGAGAACAAACTTGTCAGTAAAAACAAGAAAGGGCTTCAGAGGTGTTACTTCCTGATGCAGTAGAGGAGGAGAGGAGGCAAGTAGCTTAGATAAAGTTTCTCACACACAATTTTATGGGCTTAATTTAAGCCTTCTGGTGCTACTTTAATTCAGAGCGACCCCTGATTCTGCTGGTGATGTGTTTCCTGACAGGGCTCAGTCGTCCACTTCATCCTCGTTACTCTGAAGGCCTTAAGAAACTCAAATTTGATCCTTTATTTCTGTAGATTATTTTTTGAATGAGGTATTTTTTTTTATTATTAAATTTAATGAAAATTTACAGAGACTTTGGATTTCCATTCATTCACTGTTGCACTTTTCCTCCCTGCCCACTCCTCCACCCGAGTACACTCTTCTCTTTGAAAAGTAAAAGAAAAATTCTTTCATTGTTTTACAATCCCTCCCCTCAAGTCCGCTCCACTATGCAGCCTTCATTCTGGACTCCTGTCATGACAATAATACCTAATCGCATATCCCTTTTAAACAGTTTTCTCCCTCATCTGTTTCAATGCAGTATACATTATTGAACCCATCTTTCTCAGTCTCCCCTCAACCCCAAGGTCAGTCCTGTTTTACAACAGTGGCACCATGCAGTATTTGTCCTTATGTGACTGAGATATTTCACTCAGCATAATGTCCTCCAGGCTCACCCATTTTGAATAATATTTCATGAGTTCCTTGTTTTTCAATGCAGTGTAGTATTCCATTATGTGAATATACCACAGCTTCTCTATCCATTCGTTTGTTGATGGGCACTTAGGTTGTTTCCAACTCCTTGTTATTGTGAACAAAGTCACAATAAACATGGGTGTGCATAGATTATTTCTTATGATCTTGCCGAGTAAGCATGGCCTATGAGAGACTCCCACCTGCATGTTCTGGGCTTTAAGAGGGGAAAAAAGGTTACTTGTGCAGGCAGTTTTGTTTTAAGAGTAGACTATCTTAACTGGGCAGATATGTGTAGGAAGAGTCATATTTCTTCTCAGAGGAAAACTCCAGGGTGAGAGTTTCAGGAAGAACACGTTTTTAGGTCGTTCTGAGACCTTGAGCAGTCACTGTTGCCTGGGGTCTTTGCTGTGTGTGTGCTTGAGGCAGGCAGCGGGGATGACAGAAGTCACTGACCAACCAGACTGAACTTCCGCCCACTCTGGCCCTTTTGGTCCTCTTCAGACGGAGCAGTAAGTTCACTCATCCTTCCAACTGGAAGGCATTTCTTCTGAATAGAGTTCTCCCTAAGACTCGGACAGGCCTTCTTAGAGTGTCCTTGCTTTTTGTAATATATATCTCCCCTTCTCTGTCTGGTTTCCTTTTCCTTTTGGAGTTTTTCTTGGGGTCCCATACTCATACCTTCATTGGTTTTTCAAAAGACAGCGTTACCTGGAGGTGTCTGGTATTTTCAGTCGTTGAATACCTTGGATGCATTGTTGACCAGTTGAGTTTGTGCCAATGGCTTGGTTCATCTTCTGTAGTTTCCTCCTAATGTCAGGGATGTTCTGGGAACCAAAAGGCAGGTTACTCATTCAGAAACTAGCTGAGTCTTCTGGGCCAAGACTTACGGAAAGCCTGGAGCAATCTTTCAAAAAAACCTGGAAAGTCTTTCTCTTTGGTTGCTGCAGAATAGTTCCCGTCATTTTCAGGCTTGGGGCTTCTTTTCTTCCTCTTGGCCTTAGAGACTATACTTTCTGTGCTGCCTTTGTCATAGACTTCTGCCATGCAAATGCCAATTAGGCTCAGTGAAGCAATAATCTCCATGAAGACAAGCTTCTCCTACTATTTCTCTGTTTTTTTCCTTTCACCAGCCAGAAGCTGGATTAACACACACACACACACACACACACACGCGCGCGCGCGCGCGCGAATCTCTGCTCACTTAGCAAAAAAAAAATTGTTTGTTGTTGTTATTTGCCGTGGAGTCGTTTGCAACTCATAGCGACCCCATGCACAACAGCCCTAAACCCTGCTCTCTCCTGCGCCTACCGCACTGCCTCTGACACACCCATCCCTATTACCCCAGTCACGGAATCAATCCACCTCATAGAGGGTCTTCCCCTCCTGCGCTGTCCCTCCACCCTCCCAAGCATGATGTCCCTCTCCGAGGACCCGTCCCTCCTGGCAACATGTCCAAAGTATGTCAGACGAAGCCCCAGAATCCTTGCCTCCAAGGAGTAGCT